CATTATAATAATTTTTTTCTTAAAGGTTGAAGGTTCAAATCCTTGCACCTTGTAAATTTGAATATAATTTGTCAAGATATATATATAGGTTACTAAAATAAAATAAACAATATATTTCAATGTCCTAGTGGTGTGAGGAGCTTCTTTTTTCCTAGAGGTCGAAGGTTCGAAACCTTAAACCTTCAAAAAAAAATTTAGATACCCAAAATTCTTTATTTATTTGATTATTCAATGGAGGGTAAATGAGTCTTTTAATAGTTTTTAATTATTAAAATTACTTTTCTTTTGTTCACTTTAGTCAAAGGGCATTTACACAAAATGTTTGTGAGGATTGGGCATTTGAACTCATTCCCCTTGATTTTTTTGGTTTTGGATTTTGAGGGTGGGAAGAGAAGAGAATATAAAATGAATAAAGTTTATTTTTATATGTATTTAATTATTTTAATTTTTTTTATTATAGAAAATCTAAATCTATTTACCCCGCTTTTAATTTGCCAATTTCAGTGAAACATCTAATTTCATGGTTGACTAACGGAATATTGGATGGAAACTGTCCAATGGACTCCCGCTGCCATTAAAGCGAAAGATTTGGGACCGTGACAGCAAAAATAAAAGGTTAAGATACACGAAATGCACGCCGTGGTGGAAAAATCCGGGTTCATATATTTTCAGACAAATCGGTTACAGTAAGACCCGCTAAAACATGTGTGGGTTCGGGAAAGAGATCCCCTAAATATTGGGTAGCTTTTGTTAAACCATGTCACTATACGAAATGGATGGAGCAATCGAAAATATAGCTAGGAGGGCTATTTCAACTCAAGTTTCACTGGGGGTGCCAAAAAGGAGTAATTTTTCATTTTTTCTTTGCATATAGCTTTGCCATTTTCGCAATTTTTGAGGTTCGAGTTCCGAGGTTTTAAATTTTCAGTTTTGAGTTTCAAGGTTTCGAGTTGCAAACTATCCATGACCTCAACCTATATACACACATATATACATATTTGGAAAGTCAAGATCCCTTCTTTCACCCACTAAAAACACAAGAAAATTGGAATCAACAAGAATTTCTAGCCACCTAAAAGTATCAAAAATAACATATCCTCCATATCCACCGCATGATAAAACTTCGTGTTACCAATTTGCAAGACTTCAAGCTTTTCACAATAATGATAAAGAATTCCGTCTCCAATTTAACCCCTGGCCGACGTGACACCCAACTGTAAAGAATGATGGCCAGACGATTGACCATGCACATGAGAAACTCTTGTGTCTCTGCCATAGGCGGCGTGATCTTACATCTCATGGTCGTCTAACAAAAAATTGTCCTTGCATCCGAGTTTGCTCAGACGCATTAATGCAAGCATGCTGATAGCAACCAAAGCAGAATTCCCCATAATCCTACCCTTGAGATCCAATTTGAGGGACTTGGGAACAAAATGTAAACCAGACATAAGGAAATTGACAATAATATTTGACCTCGTCGATTCTTGAGCTTCAAAGCTTCGTCCAGAAGGGTATGGATTTGGAACATAGAGATTTTCTGGTGAAACGAATTGACCAGAATCTTGCACAGCACCCACTAAAGCCTGTGCTTCTTCAATGACTTTGTACTTCTTCCCTTGATGTTCAGCCAATCTCATGGCAAGAACAATTCGACTTTGCTCTAACCAAGCAATTGCAGCATCTCTCTCAGCTCGTTGTTGTGTTTGTACCATCTAGAAATCATAACATCAAAACCCAAACAATAACAATTGTTTTGCAGAAACAACAAACAGAAACACAGACACAATTACAATTAAATCATCGTAATAAATTTATGTCAAATGACCACCAGCATATAATTCTGACAATATGTAGCTCTGATCCTATATATAAACTACGAAAATGTCTGTTCATCTTTACACCACAATCAAGCAAAAAAGAATAAAGAAAAACCTTATAATGAAGCTTTGCACTACAAACATCACAAAAACCGAACCATCAGATAAGCTTCTCACTCATTATGTTTCCTTTGCCAATTGTTCATTCTCGGAAATTACTATTATTTCTTACTATTGGCCTTATCTTCTTTCCGAATCAAATTTACCCATTTTTCTAGTGAAATCACCCTTCCAACCCCAAGCATATGGAAATAATATTCAAATAATCCCAAGGCACTCATCGATCCTTGGTTTCCCCGGCTAGAGTTACTGCATATTATTTGATATGCAAGGGATAAAAGGATTTTGCAGCATAAAGAGTTGAAGATAATCCAAATTCTACAGTGTGGTATGCATAGGACCGAAAACTTGCTCTTGTTTGGGCTCCATTATTTCCAAAATACATTTTTTTCAAAAATCATTTTTAACCACACATTTTTCGAAAAATCACTGATCCAAAATACATATCCTCCCAAAATCGCATTAAAATTGTGCCCAAACAGGAGCTAAATATGTTAATGGATTCACTTTTCACAAAGGCAAATTAAAAGTAAATGCACAAAAATTTACATAAGCTTCTGATAATTTTCATGCTATTAACTATTCCGACTTCCCAAAGCTTTCATGCTACAACACCAAATCCATGGTATACATTCTTCTAATGATATGCCCTGCAATCAGTTATAGCTAGTAGCTAATTCGAGGGCCTTCCATGTGCAATTAGTTTACTTTTTGGAAATCGGAATTGGGACCATGCTACATTAACAGAAGGATTTTGACAGATACTTACCAGATACTCACATGGATTTTTAATAATAAAAAATTATCTTCTGCTAAAATACTATTTTACCCTTAATGAAATATTTT